GAGCGCGTTACCACTGCATTTAAAATCAGAGGCTGAATAAAATCAAGTCATTCTAAATTTAGAATTTCCATTGCATTTCGGGTTTTTAAAGCAGCACAGGCTGAATAAAATCAAGACATTCTAAATTTAGAATTTCCATTGCATTTCGTGTTAGGATAATTTCGAGGTATTTTGTTCAGGGTAAACCTGTTGTTTAAAATTGAAGTAAATAATTTAGCAAAAATCTTCTCGCCCAAACAGTCCAACATGTAGAAACTATATATTCAACTACTCGGCAGTCAGATTAATTTGTGTAGTATTCGGTAATCGACATTGTAGCAACGCTATATGTCGCAACGCCGCTATATGTCGCAACTAACGCTAAATGTCGCAACGCTGACGCTATATGTCGCAATCAACGCTATATGTCGCAATCGCCTACCGCTAAATGTCGCAACGTTGCCGCTATATGTCGCACAAAAATTGATTGCCGCTAAATGTCGCAACCCCTTAACGCTAAATGTCGCACTTGGTAGGAAAGTAACAGATGGAACTGAAACAAAAAGTAAGTGTTAAAACATTTAAAGTTTATACCATTTACACATGAAAACATATCCTAGTAAGCAAACAAAAGTTGTATTTCGCGGTCTATGGCATAACCTTGTATGGCCATAGAAACAGTTTTTGATTAAAGGGATGGATTTGGTTCTCAACCACGGACCAGGTGTGAGATCAAACTTTCTCTTTGAGGATGTCTTTCTCACAAAATGCATCAACAAAAACATTTGGATATACATGTATATTTGTTATATTATTTGACATAACTGATCAAACCGCTTGTAAATGCTAAGGGGGAACTATATCTTAACATTTTATGTTAATAGCTGTCATTATAAATAGTGGTCGAATAGCCCAGTCTAGGTAATTCGAATTTGGTATTTGTCCAGAGCAGATATATACTTATGTATTTAGTAATAGTAATCAAATGTGAAACATCAGTGTCCAATTTCTCATATTATACTGCGCTTTGTTTAAGCCTCGTTTTTTTCTCCGTTACATGGATACTTTTGTAATGGTTTGATATTGTAGCTTCATTTTTACTTCAACATGGTTTCGTTTGTGGCGTTTTCATAATGAAGTATCATTTTCATTTTTATAATGATACATTTGCCTTGTTTTACCATTACATGAAATACTTTTGTTAAGTTTTCCTTATTGCAGCCTGGTTTTCAGTTTCACATTTCCTTATTGTAGCCTCGTTTTCATTATAACAGTGTTACTATAGTCTCTTTTCCTGCGTTTAACTGTAACGCGGATACGTTTGTAACGTTTCCTTCACTGTAACGCGGATGTGTTTGTGACGTTTCCTTACTGTTGCCTTGTTTTCACTGTAACGCGGATACGTTTGTGACGTTTCCTCACTGTAGCCTCGTTTTCACTGTAACGCGGATACGTTTGTGACGTTTCCTTACTGTTGCTTCGTTTTCCCTGTAACGCGGATACGTTTGTGATGTTTCCTTACTGTTGCCTCGTTTTCGCTGTAACGCGGATACGTTTGTGACGTTTCCTTACTGTAGCCTCTTTTTCATTGTTACATGGTTACGTTTGTGACGTTCGTTACTGTAGCCTCTTTTTCATTGTTACATGATTACGTTTTATGACATTTCTTTACTGTGGCCTCGTTTTCATTGTTACATGGTTACGTTTGTGACGTTTCTTTATTGTAGCCTCGTTTTCATTGTTACATGGTTACGTTTGTGACGTTTCTTTACTGTAGCCTCGTTATGGTTACGTTTGTGACGTTTACCTTCTGTAGCCTCGTTCTCATCGTAACATGGTAACGTTTATGACGTTTTCTCCCTGTAAAGCACGTTTTCACTATTACATGGATTCGTTTGTGACGTTTCTTTACTGTAGCCTCGTTTTCATAGTTACGTTTGTCACGTTTCCTTTACGTGGCCTCGTTTGTATTGCAATATTGTTACGTTTGTGACATTTACTAATTACATGTATATTCTCGTTTTGATCGAAACAAGGACACGTTTGTGAATGGTTACTCTATTTCCTGATTTACATGAACACGAACACGTTTATGACATTAAATTATTGTCTCATATTCTCCCTTATATGTTTTATCCTCTTTTTCCTCGTAACACTGATACATTTGTTTACTTAATTTATCACACACCCGTGCCGATTTTGCGACTCCGTAAACATGGTATTGCACGGCCGTGCATATATTTTGACGTGACATCATTAGCGTTATACAAACATAGTGTAAAGACGCGCTAAATGTTGGCGTTAAACTATAGGCGCGTCAATAAAAAATGACTCTTATTTCACTTTAAACGATCTTTATTTTGTGTAAGTGATAAATAGAATATTAAATTCGTGTAAGTTCATTACTGAATTTATTGCACTCGTTGAATAAAATAATATTATGCTCGCCAGAGGCTCGCATAATATAATTTTTTTCAACTCGTGCAATAAATTCAGTATTGAACTTACACTCATTCAATATCCTCTATGTATCGTAGTCTCATTTTAACTTCACCATGGTTTCATTTTTGATGTTTCTAAATTATTTCGAAGCAGAGTTGTTCGTTCCTCACATATATCACATCTGCAATATGCTGAATGACAAGAATCTTGTCAAAACGTAACAATTTTTTAACACTTTGACTTTAAATATATAGAGGATATTTGTTTGTTTTGCATTTAAGATTGAAATATAATTTCACTGAGTGAACACCAGATGCAATATTTTCACGAGTGGCGTAGCCACGAGTGAAAATATAATAGCTGGTGTTCACGAATGAAATATATTTCATTATTTAATTTTACCCATGAAATATGGTGCTATATCAGTCAACTATATTTCATATTTTTTAAAAATAAATATGAAATATAAATATGAAAGTGGGCGGAGTCAAAACTCATATTTATTTTATGGGACTTCTTTCGCCGTTTTGTTGAAAAATCTGATAAATACAAAACAACTTTTTCTTGAATTTTGTTTTGAAAACTATCTAGCATGATAGAAAATGGTCTAACTAAGAAAATCAATCCGAACACCAATATCTTTAATTCAGTAATTAACGCTGTACAGACGTTTAAAGAGTTGTTTACATGACGTCACAATGTAGCGCCAAACAGCGCGTGCTTACGCATAAATTACTGCGCGCTGTACAATTGCAGTTGGTAGCAAGCAAGGGGATTCGCTACCATTTTCTTTGATAATGAAATTAAATAAAAAGGTTATTTTTTCGTTTTTCGTGAAATATGGTATATATTTTCACTCAACATGATAAAATGCCACATATTTTCACTCGCCGGACCGGCTCGTGAAAATATTCGGCATTGTATCATGTTTCGTGAAAATATATACCATATTTCACGCAAACGAAAAAATATCCTCTTAATCTTATATGTAAAACAAATACATTTTCTTTTTATTTCATGCCTTTTAAGTGTTTTTAAGTATTTTTACTGATTTTTCCGCGTAACGTCGTGCATTCTCCTTTGTAACGTCATCACGTCATGACATCACATCATCAATTTTGAAATATATAGAGGATATTTGTTTGTTTTGCATGTAAGATTGAAATATAATTTCACTGAGTAAACACCAGATGCAATATTTTCACGAGTGGCGTAGCCACGAGTGAAAATATTATAGCTGGTGTTCACGAATGAAATATATTTCAATCTTATATGTTAAACAAATAAATTTTCTTTTTATTTCATGCGTTTTAATTGATTTTAAGTATTTTTTACTGATTTTGCCGCGTAACGTCGCGCATTCTCCCTTGTGACGTCATCACATCATGACGTCACATCATCAATTTTGAAAAATAGTTCTGTTAAATTTCTCTAATTTTGTTACATTTTCAACATGATGTATGGTAACATTTACTTTCTTTTCCTAAAGAAGCAAAATTTACGCATGACAGCATTAATTTCTGCCTGTTATTCCATTTAGTTATGATTTTCTTTTCATCCGTATTCAGATATAGTCCGGCTACAGTGAAAATTATATTTTATAAATTTAACTAGTGGTTTATCAGAATATAATCATCTGATATATTACAATAAACACTCGAAAGCATGAAATAAAGTTCTGTTAAATTTCTCTAATTTTGTTACATTTTTAACATGATGTATGGTGACATCGACTTTCTTTTCCTAAAGAAGCAAAATTTACGCATGACAGCATTTATTTCTGCCTGTTATTCAATTTAGTTATGATTTTCTTTTCATCCGTATTCAGATATAGTCCGGCTACAGTGAAAATTATATTTTATAAATTTCACAAGTGGTTTATCAGAATATAATCATCTGATATATTACAATAAAACACTAAAAATCATGAAATAAAAGACCATAGATAAAATGCACAAATAGAAGCACGTTGTAAAGATATGATAAATTTTATCATCATTTTTATTGGAACTTTTGTCATGTCCAAGTATGCAGATGATGTCATCACGCAGATGCAAACAAAAAACTTGAAAGTGGTTTTAATATAATTTTAATATGTGGTAGAAACCTGTTTGGACCTCTGTCAGTTTGGAGGCAGTGGCCTTATTCTGGCGACATAAATCGCAAAATTATTCATTTCCAAAATGTTAACATACGAGTATGTCAGTACTTTCTGAGCCAACTATACTAAAGCGAATGGAATAGATTATAGTTTTCTTATAAGTTTCGTTTTCATCGTTACATAGATATGTTTGTTACGCGTTTTGTTAAAGTCTAATAGATTCTAGTACATTTGTTACGTTTTGTCATTGTAGTCTCGTTTGCATTGTAACATGCCGTTTGTGAAGTTTTCTTGTTGTTTTCTTGTTATTATCGTAATATAGTTACGTTTGTAACATCTTCTTCCCGTAGTTTCATTTTCAATGTTACATATATACGTTTGTGACGTTTTCTTATTGTAGCCTCGTTTTTATTGTAATTGAAACATGCTCACGTTTTTTTGGCGTTTTGATATTGTAGCCTCGATTTAAAACTGACATGGTTACGTTTGTGACGTTTTCTTATTGTTGCCTCGTTTTCGTCGTTACACGGTTGCGTTTAGGACGTTTTTTTCTTTAGCCTCATTTTCACTGTTTCATAGATACGTTTGTGACGTTTTCTTACTGTCGCCTCGTTTTCAGCTCTAAGTTTGCGTAGCCTCGCTTTCATCGAAACAGGGTTTGTTTAAGTCACGTTTTCATCAGAAAACGAATGCGTTTGTGAATGGTAATATTATGTTCACATTTACATGTATTAAGTTGTTGTCTTATTATCACCCTTTGATGATTTATCTAACGACAAATAGGATGTATAATTTAATCGATATTTGAATTATTCTTAATTTGTCGCACACAAGAAAAAATGAACATTCGGTTTTTGTTTATTGAATTATCATTATTAATATACATCTAGAGATCTAATACATACGATTTTATGTCTGGTTGCTTTTGAACATAATATGACATAATTCATGGAGGATATTCAAGTGTTTTCTATAAATACAGGATTTTTTTTCATCTAGTGGCAAGACAATAATTATTTTATGAGTGGCGGTAGCCATGAATGAAATATGATAATTTCCATACCACAAGATGATAATAAATCCTGTATTTATAGAAAAAAAACTTGAATTGTCTGTTTATCATATAGATTTCTCTTCTTTCTTTTTTTTTTTGACATTACAATTTGGAAGAATTCTCCTTAAATTATGTGTATTGTCTGAATTTAGAAGAAAGTAGTCCGGCAAGACAGCAGTGAAAATACAGAAAATATATCTCACTGCAGTGAAAAATAGCTTTTTACAGTGAAAATACTAAAATTGAAAATACGCACTTTATTTCATCAGTATTTCTCAATATTTCACTTATAAGTATATGATTAAACAATTTCTTTTTGGCTTGATTTTTAGTTTCTCTATTTTTTTCATGGGTCAGCCTATAACCTCTATATGTAAACGGATAAAAGAATACCTCTATTTATTTATTTTTATTCATTTTTGTATTTATTTATTTATCTAATTGTTGTTGTTGTTGTTGTTTTCTAGTGGGGGAGTAAGCAGTTGACAGTATGCAATTGACAGTAAGCAGTTGACAGTAAACAGTAAGCAGTTAACAGTAGGCAGTTGTTAGTCAGAAGTAGACAGTAAGCAGTCAACAGTTGGCTGTCGTTTATGGAATTCCATGTTATAGTTCATGCATTTATTAATTTATCAGTGAATTCCTTTAAATGTTGTTCTAAGAATATATATGTACCTGTAAACTATTAAAGTAAATTAGGAGGCAGAAAAATACCAAGGGTTCAACCGGGTTTTGAACCGCAGACCTCTTGGTCCGTAGACGGACACCTCAACCACGTCGTTAAAGGGTTAATCTAACAGCAAGGCTGATGGAAGTGGCCTATATACCTACAACCACTACACTCCTCCCCTCTTTACTTTTCAGAGCTAGCCACCTCTCCTGAATGACACTCCCTGCTTACCGCATGAGTCCGTCAAACACTTCTGACACCATTAAAGTAAATTAGGAGGCAGAAAAATACCAAGGGTCTAACCGGGTTTTGAACAACAGACCTCTTGGTCCGTAGGCGGACACCTCAACCACGTCGTTAAAGGGTTTACCCAACAGCAAGGCTGGAAGTGGCCTATACACCACTGTACTATATTGTGTTTGACCTCCAGAACGGCAACTATTTCGGCAACTGAATAATTTTTTGACCAATATAGTTGTAATAGGCCGTCCATTTTTATTTTTATGCTATAAGCAGTGAATAATAAGTAGTAAGCCGTAAGCAGTTGACAGTAAGCAGTTGACAGTAAGCAGTAGGCAGTCAACATTTGGCAATTCCATAGTATATTGATTCATTAATATTCCCAAAGAAATATTGAGATAAATATAAAAAGTTATGAAAGTATAACAATTCTGTCATTAACCTAAATCAATACACCGCATAGTTACGAATATCGATCAACAGATCTATTGGGTATTATTTAATACTTACATGTAGTAAAGCCTATCTAGTCAGATTATGAACAGGTATAATATAAAATATATATTAAGATATACAAATGATTTTGTTGGTGCATTTTGTGAGAAAGACATCCTCAAAGAGAAAGTTTGATCTCACACCTGGTCCGTGGTTGAGAACCAAATCCATCCCTTTTATCAAAAACCGTTTCTATGGCCATACAAGGTTTTTGCCATAGACCGCGAAATACAACTTTTGTTTGCTTACTAGGATATGTTTTCATGTGTAAATGGTATAAACTTTAAATGTTTTAACACTTACTTTTTGTTTTAGTTCCATCTGTTACTTTCCTACCAAGTGCGACATTTAGCGTCAAGGGGTTGCGACATTTAGCGGCAATCGATTTTTGTGCGACATATAGCGGCAACGTTGCGACATTTAGCGGTAGGCGATTGCGACATATAGCGTTGATTGCGACATATAGCGTCAGCGTTGCGACATTTAGCGTTAGTTGCGACATATAGCGGCGTTGCGACATATAGCGTTGCTACAGACATCGCTAAAAATAGCATTTTCATTGATTAAAATCATATTCATCCGCGTAATTTGTGAGTGTGCATTTACTGACAATTCTATAAGCCAACGCTACTTTTAAAGTTTGAATGTGTAGTAAATTGTTGGACACTTGTAACAAAAAATTGTTCTTTCTTTTAAATTGCTGGTTTTTAAGCAGTTTTGAGTGAGAACTAATTTGCGTTGTTAGGTCTGTTAAACCCCGGTCACATATTCACGGATTATGCCACGGAAGAGCTACGGTCTAATTGTTCACGGATTACTACGGAAATATGAAATTCCGTAGTCCGCTACGGTTCCAGTACGGACACACAACGGTATGAGTACGGAGTTTGACGGATTTATCACCGAAAGCCCCGGGATAGACACGGATTGTTACGGACTGACACGGTTTCATACGGAGCGACACGAATCAGGACGGACGCACTACGGATACACTACGGTCTGCTACGGTATAAGCACGGGTTAGTACGAGTAAGAACGGTCTGATACGGAGAAGAACGAATTGATACGGAGAAGAACGAATAGCCACGGATCTATACGAACCTATTATATCCGTCCACAACCTCTTGCATGCTCATTTTTATAAAATGCCTCAAAAGAAAAGAACACATAGGAAACGAATTGCAGAGTTCAATGATTTTGGCGTAGAGGATTCGGCCTCATCGCGTCCGATCCCCGAGACATATCAGGTCCGGTTAAAGTGAATTTCTTTAACGACACCGGATACTCAACAAGTTAGACCATGAGAGCCTCATACTAAACATGAAAGCCCATCTCTAGTTCACCTTTTCTTACCTGATTATATATGGACTAGTAATCATTAATGAAAAATGTTGATCAATACTGCTTCTCTTTTGATTTGAAAATTTGCTGTTCATTTTACAATTACATTAATTATCGTGTATGTTTATGTTTTAAGAATATGTGAAAAGCTTGTTAATTAATCTTATTATCACTCAAGGGCCAGCGTCCGAGGCTTATGAGACACTTCGTTTTATGTACATATTTACTCAAATTTCACGATCCAATGTTTTAGTTTAAACATATTTATTTCCCGAATATTTACATGATATACATAATACAATACAATCAGAATACAAATATATAATATATTCAAAGAAAAGGATGAGAATGAAAGACTAAGTCTTATAAAATTCTTCTCCTTATCCAATGTTTTGTAAACTATGTAACATTAAATGTTATTCTATTACTTTTTAATTGTAGTACAATATTAATATATTTTTTACCTCTATGCATGTCATCAAGAAGCTCGACCACTGCTTCCGCGTTCTCAGCCATATCAAAATACAATTGCAGCCAGTTAATGGCAATTATCATTTATTGAATATTCACGCAAATATGTCTGTTTTTAACAAGAAGGTAGTATTTTATACCCTTTAAAAAATACATGATACTTAATTTATCCGTACTAAACAGTGTTGGACCGTACCATTCCGTACCATTTCGTATTGCAACGCAATAAACCGTATAAGACCGTGCTTATCCTTGCCTCTCCGTTGTACATCGTATTACGATCGTGGCTTTCCGTGACAATGCCGTATTAATCCGTATTAAAACCGTAGCTTATACGTAGGGTTACCGTACAAATACGTAGTTATCCGTACCAAACCGTGGAAATCCTTGACAAGTTGGGGGCTACGAATCAGTACGGACTAACTACGGTTTTCTTACGGACCAGTACGTATCAGTACGGTTTAATACGGACTAGTAGGGATACGCTACGGTTGATTTTTCCGTAGCAAATTTTTGTGCATGTTCAAAAATTGTCAAGGATCGCTACGAATATAGCAGGACTACTACGATTGATTACGGTTACAATACGGAGAGCTACTGACCAGTACGGGTAGCTACGGACGATGCCGGAATTAATCCGTGGCTCTTCCGTGGGCGTTTTCCGTGAATATGTGACCGGGGTATTAGGAAATTTTGTGTTAGACCGTGGATGTTAGCTATGTATTTACTGATCTGCGATCAGAAAATACAAAAACAGTATCTATGGCCATATAAGGTTTTTGCCATAGACCGCGAAATACAACTTTTGTTTGGTTACTAGGATATGTTTTCATGTGTAAATGGTATTTTAAATGTTTTAACACTTACTTTAAGTTTCAGTTCATCTGTTACTTTCCTACCAAGTAGGATTTTCCTTATCTATATTTAGGTCTGGTGACGTCAATTGTATTTACCTGGGTTAATTGTTTTGGTTCATTGAATTTTTGTATTCCTACGCCGTCTATAAATATTCAACAGTGCGCGTAATCTGCACAGTTTTTGTCAGACACGTTCAGTTATCAGTCGTTTCTTACTTGTTCTTCAATTTTGTTAAAAAAAACTTTTGGCGGTTTTAACTGTAATCGTCAGAAATCGTTGAAGTTTATTTATTTTTTCAAGAGAAAGGAACTGTATTATGTAGTACTGTGGTATTGTGTGAACGGAAGGAACTCTCGGAATTGGGAATATCCCGCCGAATGAATTCGCAGAGAATTTCTAGTAGAAACAAAGAAAAAGTTGATTATAAGATGTTAGCTAAGGAAGGAGTGAAGGTGTTGATTGACGATGATCATAAAATTGAAGACAAAGAAGTGGGCGCGAAACCTAAAAAGTCGAAAACGAACAGTGAGAAAATCCTGTCAAACTCCAATGCGGATAAGCCAGACGAAGTGAAATCTACCAAGTCACCGTCAGCTAGTAAACAAACCGGTAAACACGTAAATTTGGAGAAAAAGGCGATGTTAGCTCGTTTAAATGAGTTAGATGAACAGCAAAGACGTTTAGAGGAGCAGAGAGAGTTAAACTTTTTGAGAAAGCAGATTTTGGAAAGAGAAGCTTTTGTTTCCTCGTTAGAAAAGTCAGTTTCAGCAGAGCCAGAAGTAGAAACACTTTCCCCACCCAAATCACGAGTGAATTCCGAACGTTTAGGCGCAAGTAGAACATATACGTTAAATCCCCTGGGTTCAACGTTCCACACCAAGGACAAAGGGAGTAAGAAGATCAGCACTGGTAAGAAGACTCGCATTGCAGCTGCCTTTGACAGTCCTTCGAATCAGAAAGGTATAAACATTGATTCTTTACGCAAAATGACTGATTTGCAGAGAAAGGCTAAGAAATCATTAGCACAATTGGGATTAGTTGAAATGACAGAATCAGAGACTAGTACGGAGTCCGATGATGAGTCTAGTTATTCCTTTTCATCCTCTGAGGCAGAAGAATTTTGTTTAGATTCCAAAAAGAAAAAATCTAAAAACGTTAAGAAACAGGTCACTAAATCAGGGATCACTTCCAAGTCTTCAGACATGGTCAAAAACAGACAAAGATTTCCGCATTCAAACTTGAGATTTGACTTTGCTTCCAAAAATGTTTGTTTTGAAAATATTGAATTCAATCTATTTATAGCAGGAGAGTTGGAAATTGTCATGTCATCTAGAACTGGTAAAACCGAAAAAGAAGGTCGTTTAGAATTACTCAAGAAATTAATGTATTTGAACAGTTCTTATGACTTTTCAGCCATTAAAGCAGTATATGCTGCTATTCTCAGAGAAATTGAGTTAGGCCATGGTACTTGGAGTGATGATTTTCAATATGTTGAGTCAGCAGTTTTAGCTAGACATAATAGAAAAGTTAAATCAAAGCCTTTTGCTTCAGGAACACAGAGCTCAAATTATCATTTTAAACCTAGGCCTGAATATACTATGCCAAATGAAAAAACCTTTGTTAGTTCTGGTGATGAATCAAGAGTTTTCTTTTGCAACAAATATCAAAGAAATAAATGTAGTTACAAATCTTCACATTCAATGACATTAAATGGCAGAAATAGGTTCTGTAAACATGTATGTGCCACCTGTTGGCAAACTGACAGGAAGGAATTAGCTCACCCGGAATGTTCAAGTTCTTGTCCGCATTCTCAAGATTGACTTACTAATGGTTTGTGTACTGTAATTATTTCTGAGTCTAAAGATGAAGTAGATTCAGGGATAGTTGATATTTTCTTGCCGGAATTTTGTAAGCAAACTAATTTAAATAGCAAGGCTAAGGTTTCCAATGTAAGTCATAGTGGCGATGTTATTTGCAATCATAAAAAAAGTTGCAAGATTTGTGCTTCACTGAAGCAGGTTTTAAGTGATAGCACTGTTAATAAAGTTCATGTTTATGAACAGGTTAAAGCTTCTGGAAAATTTAATTTTGAATTATGTAAGATTCCAGTCAATGAAAAAATTGATGTTGAATTCATGAAACGGATGTTGGTTGGTTATTTTGATATGCAAGTTTGTGACTTGCTTAGATTTGGATTTCCCATTGAGTTAGAGTTGGAAGATAAATCATTGTTATTTTCTAAAGCTGTTAGTTTTAAAAATCATTCTGGTGCTAATACTTTTCCAGAACACATGGTTAAATATCTTGAAAAAGAAGCGTCTCATGGTGCAATTATTGGACCATTTTCTTCTTGTCCTTTTGCGGATGGTATGGTAGTATCCCCGTTAAATACAGTTCCAAAGTCAAATCCTAATGAAAGGAGGGTAATTTTGGATTTAAGTTATCCAAAAGATGGAACAGGGGTGAATGATTATGTGTCAAAAGACTGGTATCTTGGAGAAAAGGTTGATCTCGTTTTTCCAAAGATTGATGATTTTGTGTCTTTGATTAAGGCAAAAGGTCAAGGTTGTTTAATGTATAAGTTAGATTTAAGGAGAGCTTATAGGCAAATTAGTATTTGTCCCTCAGCTTACAATTTAGTAGGTTTTGCTTGGAAGAAACATATATTTTTTGATACTGTTCTAGCCATGGGACTTAGGTCTTCAGCTCATATTTGTCAGAGGGTGACAAATGCATTTGCCTTTATGATGTGGAAATGCGGTTTGACTTGTTTGAATTATTTAGATGATTTTGGTGGTGTTGAAAATCAATCATCTGCCAACTTTGCCTTTTGTTTGTTACGAGAGTTGTTTATCAAGAGTGGTATAGAGGAAGCTGTGGATAAAGCATTTCCCCCATCAAAGGTAATGATTTTCTTAGGTGTTTTATTTAATAGTGACACTATGACAATGGAGGTTACTAAGGAAAGACTCAAGGAAATTAGAGTTTTGGTCAAATCTTGGTTAGATCGAGATTCAGCATCTTTAAAGGATATTCAGAAACTACTTGGTAAACTGAATTTTGTGGGGGCTTGCGTCCGTTCAAGTAGGATTTTTGTTAATCGAATACTGAATTGGTTACGTGAATGTTATGCTGATGTTAGTAATCAGGTTTTCTTAATTCCTGAAGAAGTCAAAAAGGATTTATGTTGGTGGAATGAATTTTTGCCTATGTATAATGGAATTTCCCTGATAGATTACGGAGACTGGTCACAGATAGATAGTGTTTTTAGCTCAGATTCTTGTTTAACAGGTTGTGGGAGTATTTTTGGGAATAAGTTTTTTCATACTGTTTTCCCACAGTTCATTTTGGCTCAAGATTTAAGTATTACTTGTTTAGAAATGTTGACAGTTTTGGTATCATTAAAGTTATGGGGACCTTATTTACAGAATAAAAAGGTTAATATTTTTTGTGATAATTTGGCTGTTTGCATTGTTATAAACACAGGTAAAGCTCGTAATTGCTTTTTACAACAATGTTTGAGAGAAATTTGTTTCATTGCATCAGTATATGATTTTCAGTTAAAAGCATCACATCTTAGTAGTGATAGAAACCGTATAGCTGATTGTCTAAGTAGATGGCATTTGGATAGATTGTATGTTTCTGAGTTTTTTAATCAGGTTTCTCATATTCCTCAATTGACAGATGTTATTGTCACTGAGGATCATTTTAAGATGGTTCATAATTGGTAACTTCTTATTTCAGATTTAGAGATTAAGACTTTGCGGCAGGAACTTAGACATTCTATTTCATCAGCATTTGCCGAAGGAACAAATAAAAATTTGAAAATACAATGGGAAAGTTTCTTGATGTTTTGTATTTACTTTAGATTACGTTTTTTACCAGCATCCACTTCAACATTGCAATTATATGCACAATTCCTCAGTAGGACATTCATATCAGTGGATAGCATCCGCAATTATATTTCGGGTGTTAAAACTTTACATTTGTTACTTGGGTATAGTATTGATCATATAAATTCTTATTTGCTGAATTTATCTTTAAGGGGAATTAATCGTTTGCATCCTAGATCTGTAAAACGTGCAGAACCCATTACTTTAGACATTTTACGCAGCATACATGCTTCGTTAGATTTTTCAGACCAAGATAATATAGTTTACTGGTGTTTATTTTTATTTGCTTTCTTTTTAGTAGCCAGGAAATCTAATTTAGTTCCTACAAATTCATCTGATATCGTTAAAGGTAAATTTTTAAGCGCATCCTGTATCAAATATTTTGGAAATTACATTTTAGTGCATTTTAATTGGTCGAAAACTATTCAATTTGGAGAAAGGGAGGTAATTAGTCCATTACTTAGATTGAAAGAAACAGAGTTATGTCCAGTGTATGCTTATGAATTAATGACAGGTTTAAAATTTCATAGGAAGAATGATGTATTTTTCTCTTTAAAAGATGGGTCGTATATATCTTATTATCTGTTTCAAAAGAAACTACGTCTTTGTATTGAAGATATTGGGTTAAATCCAGATTTATTTTCCACTCATTCATTTAGAAGGGGTTTTGCTACATTAGCTTTTCGTTCTAACATTTCTCCTGAAAGTATAAAATTGATTGGTGACTGGAAATCAGATGCCTTTCGTCATTATTTAGAATTAGGTTGGTCAGATAAAGTACATATTTTATCATATATGTTTGACACCACTTTTTAATTCAGATAATTTGATCACTGATTTTAAAAATTACTTTTTAAAAATTAATTAATGTACATCTCTTTCATTACAGATGTACGAGTTCACATTCTGAGTGATTCAATTGCCAAATATATTAAAGGGATATGGTACACTACAGTTTTCCCGTTTAGAGGGTACACTTTACAAATGATGATTGACCAAATAGATGCGGATCCTAGTTTGGTTAAAGCCCCATATATTATTTTACACGTCGGAACCAATAATATTAACTCAAGAGAAAAATTTTCAGTTGATGATATAGTTAGATTAACAAACGATTTACTTAATGTTATTTGGAAACACAACCCTTCTGCGCATATTATAGTTTCTAGTATTTTACCTAGACCTGTCGATTTTGATGTCACTAATGAAAAGGTTAAATTGGTTAATGAGAGGTTGCTAGTAAAATGTAAGGAAAGGAATTGTCAGTTTATTAAGTCATATAGACCATTTCTCTTTAAGGGTCGCCCCAAAAGGAATCTTTATGCTGTCAGGGATGGGGGGCTTCATCTTAATTTTGCTGGAACAGATGTCCTCAAGAGTTTTTTCATAAACACGATTTCACATATTGTTAAGGGCAAGTTGGCCATGTAGAGTGGATGTTGTCATTTAAAAAGGTCAACAGGCGGCACATACTTGATATTAGTTGTATATACTATTAGTTAAATGTGGTTATATTTTAATTATTTGGTAATTAATTATGTGTATGAGTGGTCTAGCAAATGAATGTTGGCATGCAGGCTAGTTTAGTCACATGTTTTCAAAGGTTTTAAGGGGTAGTAGTTATGCTCTTGACCTTTGATCTCTTACGTGACATCTTGTCTTTATGTCAGTATGTTAACATTTATTTGTTGGTCACCTTGACTTCAATTGTCTGATCAATGTTCTGAACTTGTGTTTTGACATGTTTTGTTTTATACATTTTAGGATAATTTATCAGACGGATATCTTGTAAGTTTATTCAAAATTTTTTTTTTTGTTCTAAGTGTGCTTTTTAAATGAAAGTGACATTATCTTCTAATTGAATTGAACCTATTTATTCTAAGGTTTATTTATTTATTTATTTATTTTTTTTGAACGATCTTTGCTTGGATTTATTTACTTATTTTGACAGTTAATGTCATTTTTCATGTTAATGGGAGATAATGTCACTTGAACTTCTTTTGTGCTTGTGTTTGTGGAATGAATAATTGCTTGTTGGTTTGCTTTATTTTATTTTATTTGCAAGCTTTATCAATTTTTTTTGCTGTTTTGTTTTGTGTTTTGTGGCTGGGTTTGGCGGAATTGTTGTATTCAATTATACTTTGCTCATTAATATTTAATATGACTTACTTTCTATTGTATACTTTGTTTGCTTTCTTAGTCATATTATCATTTCTGATTGTTGTATTTCTGACGTGTCTGATACCTCAGTAAAGTGTTAATATTATTATGCTTCCTTGTTTTTAGTCCTTCCTTTTCTTGATAACAGAATGACATAATTTATAGCATTTTCTTCATAGAAAATCTTTTAATTATGGATTGGCGTAGGATTTTCCTTATCTATATTTAGGTCTGGTGACGTCAATTGTATTTACCTGGGTTAATTGTTTTGGTTCATTGAATTTTTGTATTCCTACGCCGTCTATAAATATTCAACAGTGCGCGTAATCTGCACAGTTTTTGTCAGACACGTTCAGTTATCAGTCGTTTCTTACTTGTTCTTCAATTTTGCCACTCCCTCCCACCCTGTTTTTAGATTAAATGTTTGAATGTGAATGTATTATTTGTGTAATGTTAATTTTTGGAATGTGAATGTATTATTTGTGTTATGTTAGATTTTGGAATGTGAATGTATTATTTGTGTTAATTTAAATATTGGAATGAAAATGTAATATTTGTGTTTTGATATGCTTATGCTTTATTTAATATCATGACGTTTAAAGTGTTTTTCATTTCTGATGTTTAATAATTGATGTGCGGAATTGTTATGTTCAATTATACTTTGCTCATTAATATTTAATATGACTTACTTTCTATTGTATACTTTGTTTGCTTTCTTAGTCATATTATCATTTCTGATTGTTGTATTTCTGACGTGTCTGATACCTCAGTAAAGTGTTAATATTATTATGCTTCCTTGTTTTTAGTCCTTCCTTTTCTTGATAACAGAATGACATAATTTCTAAATAATTAAATAAGTATATTGTGCCTTTAAGTATAAGATCATAAGTTTATTAAGCATTAAGTTTGTAGACTCATTCAAACCGACTCTAGATTTCCATGTTATTTTGTTGGAATCATATTTTAAAAAATATTTGTGTAAATTGTTTTAACATTACAAATATATTCACTCTAAATAAATGTTATTGTTTCGCGTAAATACACTAGGGTAATAGATACGCCGTGTTCTTCTATAATTGATACCTAAAATGAGTATTTCAATATAATGTACAAAAAATTGCCTTTATAGTAACTTCACACAATATTTGCGTATGTCATAATCTTATAGTAGTATCTGCGCAAACCGGTGTTTGGGTGCACTACCCGGTATCAGCGAGTGTTTTTTAAATATTCATCAGATACAGAATATGAGAATGTTTCATTCAGTCTATCATTCATTTTTTTACTATATTTACATTATGATGTAAAGGACAGAACCATCATGTGCTGGCAGTGTATCACCTTGAGCTATTGTGTAACAACCGGTGCTGGGTACTTAACAGGTTAATACTATTTACTTGTACTGTCTAGAAAAGGCCCATCTTGACGAAGCATTCGATAATATATTGCTCAATTCTTATTTTCTCGATTTTGGTTTGTTTGGTTTTACGGCGCACAAACACAGTATAGGACATATAGTGCCGAAACAGGAAAGATGACTTTGGCTTACATCGGGTATTACAAATTCAAAGTTACATCAGGAGTCGAAACTACCTCACCTGCTTGAGCCAAAGATGCATAGTCGACTTCCCGGGGATTTTCTTTGTTTTATTTTCCAATTCTAAAAGCCTAATATTTTACTATTTCATGTTTTGTTACTTTCATGAATCAATATAATTCGAATTAATATATTTTCTCACTGAATTTATGACCGGCGGGCTATAACATAGTGTAAAGAAAATAACAATGACCATTTAGTTTTGTGAATAACGCTCCCCTTTGTTAATCCCAAAGATTCGAGTTTCTTGCAACTGTATAACAGTTTATATTTGATACTACCAGTATAAGTCGAACACGATAACGTTTACATTATTCGGTCGTATAATTATGATATAATGGGTTGTGTAAGTAATTCAATTATTACATTTTGCAATTTTACTACAATATATAAAAGAGTAAAAGTGAACATGAGAGTAGGGTCGATTTTCCGACAGGGACTTTGGTTTATTCCATGTGTGCAAGTAATCCAACTATCCAACATGTGCATGACATAATGCACTGAATGAACTGAGGAGGACATTAGGTCTTCTTCTACCAGTGCAGCTGGAAAGTATTATGTACTTTCTCAC